GGTGGGGGTTTTGCATGGATAACATGAACTCATGAATGAACTGGGTCGATGTATTGATTTGTGGGGGACAGAGAGACCACAGGTAATCCAGGAGACACATATGCACCACGCAAAGCCATCAGGCGACCGGACTGCTGGACGGGATGAGTTGAAATACAGCAGACAGGATCATGGACACCACCATCAACAAGCAACCCGTTGGGCACCCCAATCGGGGAGCGTCGCAGCTCGCACCGATGACGAGGGATCCTGCGAGGCGAGGGTCAAACGTGCGGTCGACTCGCAACTCACCCTCGTCCCACCGCACGTAGTGCATGAGTGTGAGGTGCCGCAGTCGCCCCGCGGCCCCAAGAAGGGACCTCAGGTTCAGGTAGGACGACGTCGAATGGAGGTGCACCCTCACCAGCGGCGGCCACCCCGCCGCCGCCACCCCCACCCCCGCCCTCTGCTCTGCAGGCGCCCCCTCGGCCACCGCGGCGGCGGCAAGCGCCAGCTGGCGCTCTTCCTGCTGCCGCAGGGCGCAGAGGTCGAGGCTGTCGAGCGACAGCTCCGCGAGCCGCGGGCAGCTGCCGAGCAGCTGCAGCTGGGGGTGCGCCAGGATGAGCCCGGTGTGCTCGAGGCGGAGGGACGTGAGGGCTGTCAGGGCGGCGACGTGCTTGATGCAGGCGGGGGTAAGGTGCCTGCAGGCGAGGGGGGGTGGGGAGGTGCATGCGGGGTGATGCTTTAAAGACGAGGGTGTCGCAGACGGCTGGGGTGCGCCTGAATGCTGCCAAAAAAGCTGCTGGATGGCGCTGCGGGCGGCGGTAGGGGCGGACACGCACGCCGGTGTCGGCCGGACACCCATTCCTCCCCTCGCCCGCGTTATCTGACCGGCACAAGCAAACATGTCTTATGCTTGCTTATGCCCAGACCAAGGCGTGTCGAAAAGCTGCGGCATCCACACACCTGCAGCTGGTCAGGTCGAGCGCCTGCAGCCCAGAGGCCGCCGCAAACGCCTCCAAATCACTCTCGTCCAGGCTGGCAAAATTCACCTGCAGCTGAGTCAGCCGCCCCGCCGTGGCGCTTAACACCGGCCTCAGCGCGGCCCCCCAGCTGCCGCAGGGCGAGATGCAGCGCAGCTGCAGCGCGCGGAGCGCGCGCAGCGCGCCGAGCGGCGCGAGTGCTGGCGCGAGGGGCGCGGTGACGGTCATTCTCAGGTGGGTGAGTGCTGACAGAGCAGATAGGTGGCATGTGGTGATGCCGCCCGATGATGCGAGTGACAGGTCCTGTTTGGGGCGCAGGGGGTTGGGTAGGGGCGGCGCGCATGGGGGAGCGAGTGAGGGAGACAAGGGAAGGCTGCGTGGAGGGATAGAAAAACGGTCGGAGCGAACAGACTGGCAACGCAGTCCAAACCTCAAACTCTGAATCAGCAGCCCAGATCAGCAGCCCCTGACCCAGCCAAGGCACCTGCAAGCCAGAGAGCCCCCCGATCGCCATCAGCGCAGGCTCCTGGATCTGCGGCGCCCGCATCCACAGCCGCCGCAGCCGCGCCGCGCCCGGCGGCGCGAGCAGCGCCGCGACGTCCGTCACACGCGTGCCGCACGCGCCGGTGAACACCGACAGCTGCAGGGCCTGTGCCGGAGAGCGCATGGGATGCGGCTGTTTCCAATCTGCACACATGTCCACAGCTCAACACCGACCCAGCAGCAGCACGCGATGCCGACCATCAAGCTGCCAGATGCTTTGTGCTCCGCAGCGTTGACACGCATCACATGCAACAGCCAAATGTTCGGTCCCCGGCATGCGAGAAGCCACACACCTCTGGGGCGCAGCGCGCGAGCACCGCCGCCGCCCGCGCCTCCACCACGCCGCGGCGCCGCCCCCTCGTCACACGCCCCGCGCCGCCGCCGGCCCCGGCGCCGGCGGACAGCGTGCAGCTGCCCGCGAACCGGCCAGGCAGCTGCACCGACGGCTGGGGGCGCCATGTGCCCGCGGCGGCGCCGCTGCCGTCCTCGTCACTGTCGTCGTCGGCGCCCGCCCTGCTGCTGCCATCCAATGTGATTCGAACCTCTTTCAAATCCGGGAACACCTCCGACAACTGCAGCTGCCCGGCAGCTTCCAGGTCGCTTTCGTAGAGCACCATCCGCGCCACGCGTGCGTTGGCAGCCGCGCGGCCCGCACGGCTGCTGCTGCGGAGCGCGGCGCGGTCGGCTGGCAAGAGCCGGTCGAGAACGGCACGCATGACGTCTGAGGGGAGTCGCAGCAGGGGCTCGCCACCGCCGCCGCCGCCACCGCCGGCACCGCTGATTAATTGTTCCAAGGGCGCCTCCCTGCAGCATGTCAGAGATGGATCCGCGGCCACCGCTGTGGATGGCGCCGCTGTTGCATTGGGTGGTGCAAGCTTCACCACTGCCAATGGCACCGCCACTGTGTGCGGTGGCAAGCTGGAGAGCTGCATGGGTGTTGCCATTGGAAAAAAGGCGCCTTTTCTGCAGACCGCGCTTGTATAGACGAGGGGGCGGGCCCAGGCTGATTGGCAGATATGGATATGACAAGAGAAGAAGCTGATCAGATCGGCGCGTCTTGCACTTGGGAGGACGGCGTGTGCGCGGAAGAGCGTACTATACAATGTCGGGCATGGCGTGGCGCATGCCCACGCCAACAACTCACTTGCGTCACCCGAACCGAGTGTGTCGTTGCCAGGCCCTGGTCAACACATCACACGCTCGGCGCATGAAGCCTCGCCCTCGCCACTTCCGGCAACTCTCGCTCCAGCCAATCCCATCTAAATGAGCGGGGGCGCAGTTATAGCGGGAGTCGCAACGGCGGCAGCCCTTGTGGCGCAGTTGACCCCTGCAGGGCTGCTGGGGTCCAGAGCAGAGCAGCCAGCGGCCGCTACCAACACCCTGACGGATCACGACGCCGGGCCCATGGCGGGCGGGAATTCCGCGTACGCACCCGGTGCGCTGGCCAGGCGCTAGGCTGCCACGGCGGCCAAATGGCAGGTTGGCAGAAAGCCGTCCCCAAGCCCTGCCCCTCTCAAATGCGGGGGAGCGCGCCTTGAACCTCAAGCGCCGCCCACCTGAGTGGCTGCGGGCCGCGCAGCCCGAGGCAGCGTCGCAGCAGCTGACGCGCTGGATGCCTGGAACGCCCAGCCAAACGCCAAGCCGCAGCCAATCGGCGGGCTGCGGCGGCTCTGCACCATCCAAGTCCCCCCCCCTCCCGCGCATTCCGACCCCAACTGTGCCCGCCTCTGTTGGCCGGCATGAACTTTCCCTTGCTTGCACTCCTGATGAATCAGTTGAGAATCTTCGTAAAAAAAACGCCGGTCGCTGGTTCATCATTCCAACGCGCGTGCGGTGGCGTTACACGCGGGTCCTTTTGGCTCGTGAGCAGCAGCTCTCACTTTTTTTTTCGAGCTGCGGCGCGCCGCAAAACCGGGGGCGTGGGCCAGGCACGCCCACCGCCGTGGCCTGGGTTGGCCGGCGGCAGGCGCGCCCATTTAGTCGGGTGCCCGCCAGGCAATCCTAGATGGGGTGCCTTTGTGCGAATGTGACACCGTCAGATCGCCCCCGCCCGCGGCGGGCGCGCCGCCAGCAGAGTCGGTCGCCGCGCCGGCGACGAGGCGCGGGACACGCAACGACGCGCGCAACGCGCGCCGCAGGGTGACCCCCGCCGCGCCGCCCCTCGCACACGGCGCGGGGCCTCCTCAATGGTGGCCCGCGGCGTGGCGAGGGCGGCGCATCACCTCAGCGCTTGTCTTTGGGGGGAGGGCGCGACTTCGGGTCGTCCCTCCTCGCGACCGGCCTCTGCGGCTTGGGCGGCGGCGACGGGGCGGAGGGCCCCGCGCCGTCGCCCTCACGAGAAGCCTCGATGAAGGACCATACGCCTGTGAGAGGAGGTGGGGCGTGGGGCAGTCGTGAAGTCACCAAAGGGAGTCGCGATGTGGATTCGCTCGATGAAAAGGGGCGTGTGGTTAGGCGCCTGGGAACCATGTATTGCTCGCACATCACCACGTGAGGGCTTGGCCGCCGGCTGCTATGAAAGCAGGGGTGAGATGCTGGCGTTGCGCCGCGGAGGCCGCATGCGGCGCGCGTCCACCTCACCTGTGCCCTTGAATTTCTTCTTCAGGCCGAAAGCGTAACCCAGGCCATCAATCCTAGAGGCGGAGGCGATTAAGAGCGCATGCGTTGGGTGCGGTCGGGTCAGAGGGCGGCCAGCAGAACAAAGTTCATTGCGTGGGGTGGGGCGAGTGCTTTCTGCGCGAAGCAAGCAGGCGGGGTGTGGCCGTGCCGGCCAGCGGCGAGCATGCAAGATGCAACCGTGACTCACGTGCTCTTGATGGTTCAGTAAATCGGCATGGCGGCGACCTAGAGATGGGCGGCAGCGCGAAGTGGAGGTAGTGGCAGCGCGGATCAGATCACACGCGCAACGCCAGTAGTTGCGCCTGCATTGCTGCGACTCGGCTGCCCCCTTGCCTTGATAGTGTACTCGTGCGCTCAGCGCACCAGCCTGTGTAATCATCAGGCATGATTGCTGCTGCACTTAAGGCGGCGCGCAAGCGCGAAAGGGTGGTGGCGCCGACGCTCCCCCTCCGGGAAATGACGGTGACGACCCCTTACACGCCTTGCAAGTAAACATATACATGAAAACGTCGTGGGGCATCCCATTGCGTGCTCAAGCTCCCCCACGCGAGTTGCGCACCTCGCTTCGAGCCGCAGCTGTAGTAGCAGGCGTGGATGCGCTTTGATTGGAATAATTGCTGAATAAAACTGACGAGATCAGCCGGCGGTGCATCCCTTCAACCCACGCACCAGCAGCATCAATGCCAGTCACCCGCCTGGCGTCCCTCAGCCCGTCAGTGGTGTCGTTTCAGGTGAGACCCCACTGTCAGCCTGCCACTATCATCGTAGGTGCTACTTGGACGCGTACAGGTAATATACCGCCAGTTCTTGAATTGAAGGGCCAGCAGCTTGGGCAGCAGGTCGTTTGCTGGCCGCAGCGAGGCGCTCCCACCCTGGGCAGTGCTGTAGTGCAAACCCCGTTGACGCTGCGCTTGCCTGCCGCCGTCGTGTCCAAGTACGTGGAGTAGCCCCAGGCACGCCCCCCTCCCCTGACAACGCCCCCAGCAGGGCTGCGGCTAGGTGCAACAGCTGGCACCTGGCACCTAAGGGGGGGGGTCGCAGAGGCTCAGGACGCGCAGATTCACAAGCATGTGCTGGTGTAAAGGATGGAGCCCCGGGCGGGCCTCTCACTCAAAAAGTGGTACTACTGTCCTGGGGCGGGGCCTTGCACACAAAGGTTGACGTGTGCGGTTGGCTGCATCACTCGAAGCAGGAGGATCGGCGGCCTTCAACAAGCACAAATCACCATCATCAAGGGGTCAGGAGGTCTAAGATAACGCGTTGAGTCACAGGCAACCAGCAGGCATCCACGCTAGCGGCTGGCATAGGCCAAGGCTTCGCGGCGTTCCTGGATGGAGGCGGGTGCAGCCACTTTGCGGCATACTCTACATTGTGTGGGGGGTTTGTGTGCCACAAAAACCCAGCGGCATGCCGACCTTGCCGCCGTGGCTCCATGAGCTGTCTTGCATTCTGCAACGACTAGCCAAGCAAATGGGCGTGACCCATTGGTGGTAGCTGCCGCACGCGGCGTCGCCCGTCAGCTCAAGCGTTGCACATTGCCATTGAGTGCGAATCAGTGTGTCCGCATGAATGGCAGGGCAACAGGCGGGGATCTTGCCGTGGCGCTGCGGGCTCTGCGCACAGTGACAATGGGGAGCCCTGGATGTCGGCGGCAGGGGCTGCGCAGGCCGTGAGGCGCGAGTAGCCGCAGTCCGATTTGTTGGTGCCGCGCAGCACGCGCAGTCGCGCGCCCTGAATTCGTCCCACGCAGGGAAGCGTTGCGAAGGAATCAGAGTGGATATATTCACTGCTCAATTTTGTATATACTTGAGGCTGGAGGACGGTGAACGGGGTTCATATCACGACGTCCCAGCTTGGATCTGGGGCCTGGCAGCGAGCTTCCTGCAGCGCGCAATAAGCTTGAGACGCCATGATTACATCGCACTTGTCATCTTGATCATATCATACAATATCACAGATCATCAGGGTCAAAGCGATCATGGACCAGCGAGTTGCGGCCTTCGTGCATTACTACGCCCGTGAGGGGCAAGTGAATCACGTTCAGACCGTATGCAACGAAGTCCTGAAGCGACGCGCCAGCCCGGTGCTGCAGCTGTGGCGCGCATATGGCCTTTTGGAGGGCGGCGCAACTGCGGAGGTACGCGCACCTTCGCTGCAAGCACAACACCCGCGGTTGTGCGGCTGCTAACAGCCATGATCGGCACACATGTAGTTCAACCGCAGTGAACCGCTGATACATGCTAGCCACCCTGCAGCGTTCCAATCGCCAGTCGCCCGGGCTCCCGTCTTGCATCATACGTGCTGACGCATGGTCGCGCCCAACTTTGCATGCACGTGCGTTGGCCCATGCAGGCCATGCGGGAGCTGTCGGAGCTGCAGCTGGACCCCGTCGCCGGCGCCGCGGCAACGGCGGCGCTGCTGCATGCGCACGAGGCTTCCAAGCATCCGGACCACGCCACGGCGGAGGCGCTGCGGGCGCAGCTGGACGTAAGCTCTTTGGCCTCGGGCACCCTTCGCATGTGGTTGTATTGTTATGCATGGGCGACTTCACATTATCGGGTTTCGCCGAGAGCATGGATGTATGGGAATCTGCAACCACGGTCTTGGACATTTGCAAAGGCCTCACTGCGGTTGTCTTGGGCGGATGTATGTGCTGGAGATGGTTGCTGACATGCTGTTCCTATCCAGCCTCAACGATTGTGGCGCGTTCATCTACTGCATGCCTCCAATCGCAGACTGAAGAGCAAACGGTGGAAGGCGAGGCGGCCCTCCAGCTGGCCGCTCTGCTGTCCCACACCCACAGCTTCGAGCGTGCCCGCGGCATCCTCGAGCGATGCCTCTTGGACTCCCAGCTGCAGCAGACGCAGGCCGCCCCCGGGCCGCTGCTGCGGCAGCGGGCGCTGCTGGGGTGGGTCGTGCTGGGGCAGCAGCTGGCGGAGGCTGTCGCGGACCGGGACTCAGCAGAGGTTGCAGCGGCGGGCGGCATGTTTGAGGCAGTTCTGGCCGGCGACCCTGGAGATCTTGAGGTGTGTGCATGCTCTGACGCGTGCGCTTGGCTCTCATGATGGTCATGAAGCTGGTCATTATGCTGCTGCTGCTGCTGCTGCTGCTGCTGCTGCCACCGCCGCTGCTGCTGCTGCCGCCGCCGCCGCTGCTGCTGCTGCTGCTGCTGCTGCCGCTGCTGCTGCTGCTGCTGCTGCTGCTGCTGCTGCTGCTGCTGCTGCTGCTGCTGTGTCGTCAGAAGAGAACGTCGCAGAAATGGCAGGCTCATTGTCGACTTCAGCACTGCTGGAGGCCCAAATAGCATGTGCCCGCGAGGTTTTGGGCAAATCTGCAGACTCCTGCTGCTAGTCGTTTGCCACACACTCTCTCAACGTTCGGACCCACCCCCACAGGCACTGCTGGGCAAGGCGCGCGTCTTAGAGGCGCAGGCGCAGCTGCAGGCGGCCGCAGACCAGGCGGGGGAGCTGGCGGTCAGGTGCGCGTCGCGTGGGCAAGCAGGCTGGATGATGGCTGCCGGGTCTTGGCAGCAGTGGGCATGTACATCCAGCTAGCAACGCTTCCATCGGTGCCTGACAGCTCAACCATGAATGCTGCGAGCCCCTGGGACAGCGTGCACTCACGGCAGCACCAGGGTGGGCCATCAACAGCCCCAGTGCATTTGCGCGTAACCGGGCGGTAACCATTCATCCCGTGCAGGTATCCCTGGTTTGTGCCCGGCCTCATAGAGCGCTGCCGGTTGCTGCTCGCAGCCGGCGACTGGGAGGGCGCGTCAGGCGCGGCCGGGGCACTGCTGGCGGCGGACGGCAGCAACGTGCTAGGCCTGGCGGTGACGGGTGCGCTTCTGTGTAAGCGAGGGAGACAGCGACAAGAGAGGGCACTTGGTAGTGTGATGGCGGCGCAGGGGCGCTGATATTCTTACAATAGGAGGAGTGTACCGGCTGCATGCGGATGGGTAACATCCAAGTCAGCCAACTCAGCCAAGCACATCAGGCTCGGGCCGCCGTTGGAGCGCCCGCACGACGGAGGGGCGCTGCAGAGTTGATGTTCATTCGGTGCAATGAGGTTGGGATGACAGGGAAGCGAGAGCGAGCTTCCCCCCTTCCGCCGACGTACTGCCCCCCTCACCTGCAGCCTTGCACGCCCTGGTGCGCGAGGGCAACGCGCGCGCCGCGGCGCGCCACCTGGAGGATCTCGCCGCCGCGGCTGCCAAGGAGGAGCCGCGCAACGCGCGCGTGGCGTTCGGCCTGGTGGGTGCGCAGCAGCAGCCAGAGCCAACTCGTCTCCCAACCAGCAGTCTGCGCAGCACCTGCAGCGCCCTTTCTGCCTTTTGGTTTGGCCGAGCTTGGGGTGTTCTCAGGTGGTCACGCTGTGGCCAGCGTGGCGTGTGGTAATGCGCCACACAACAGCAAACACGTAGTGCGCCTGCGTGTCGCCTGCGAGCGTGCCGCCCTCTCAACCCGAACCAACCCCGCGCAGGCGGGCACGTTTGCGCGCCTGGTGGCGCCCGACGCGGGGATGCTGGCGACCACGCTGGGGATGGCGCAGCGCGCGGCTGAGCTGGCCCCGAACGACGCGGATTACGTGAGAGAGCTCGGGCGTGGCTTGCGATCGGTTCGCAGAGGCTTTGACGACACCCCCCACAGGATGGGGTGTGTAGGGGGACGCTTGGGGGAGGGGGAGTTGCGTGGTGACGGCAGGCTCATGCTGCTGCGACGTCATGCGGACACAGCAGCCACTGGCGCAACGTGAGCACAGGAAAAAGAGCACTTACTCCCCTGACACCCTTCAATTGTGGATGATAACCCGCCCCGTGACTAAACACCGCAGATCGCTGAGCTCGGCCACCAGAAGCTGCTGCTTGAGCAGCTGCCTGCCGCCGCTTTCCACTTTGAGGCGGCGCAGCACCTGGACCCGCTCTGCGCGCCCGCCGCGGTGGGGCTGGCCGAGTGCCTGGTGGCGCAGGGGAAGCTGGAGGAAGCTGAGCAGCAGCTGCAGGTGCCCTCGATCGCTGGGATCGCCCGTTGCAAGCAACCCAAGCGTACAGCTGTGCCTGAGCGCCCCCGTTGCAAGGAGGCGCGATGGGATGAACAATTGATATTCCTCGTCTCAATTGCAGGCGCCGCAGCTACCTTGCATAAGCCGCACATAGCCTGAGAAAATCCACATCATCCCTTCCATTATAGTGAGCTTTCACCTCCCAAAACCCCACCCCACAACTGCCGCAGCTCCTCCCAGACGTCCTGGCAGCTGCCCGCCCCGGCGCTGCCGGTCCCAGCAATACTAGGGACGACCTTGGGCAAACAGTGGCACTGCCCACCCGCGCGCTCGTCCCCTCGCCGCCCCTGTCCCCCGGCGCCGGCGGCGGCGCTGGCACTGGCGGCGCGGCGGGCGGCGGCGATGGCGGGAGGAGGGAAGACAAGGTGGCAGATATTGCGTACCTGCGGGGCCGCCTGGCGTGGGCCAAGGGGGCGAGGGGCGAGGCGATGGCGCTGCTAGAGCGGTCGGTGCAGCTGCAGCTGGCGGAAGCCGAGGAGGCGCCGCTGGGGCTGGAGCAGTTTGCCGCGCTAGACGCGGCGCGCGCGCTGGGGGTGGTGCGGCTGATGCTGGGCGCGCAGGGGGCGGACCCGCGGCAGAGCGGGGAGGCGCCTTCGCCGGCTGTTGGTAAAAGCATCAGGTAGGGTGGTTGAAGGTTCCGGGTTTGAAGGGGGTGTACATTGGGAACCCAATACAACACGTTCAGCGCTTTCCTGGCGGGTGGGGGTCCCTGGTGCAGCGTGTGGTTTGGGCAGGGCCAGTGTTGCCTTGCAGGACGCTGTCAGCCTGCTACCCTCCTCAAGCCCTGGTTGTGCCGACATGTGCCAAAGTTCTGAGTCGAGCTCCGGATTTTAGGGCACCGGCCCCACACCACAAAAACAATCGTGGACCGCTGCAGGATACTGGAGACCCTGGGGCGCTACACCGGGCAGCTGCCCGAGGCGCAGCTGCTGTACGCGCGCGCCCTCTACCTCAACGGCAGCCTTGAGGCGGCTGCACGAAAGGTGCGTGCGTTCTGGGAGCTGTCACCCCCCCCCCAGGCTGGCACCATCGGCCTCATCGGCCTCTCTACTACACAACAATGGTTTTTCACAGCATGTGATGCTGGACATATATCCGCACGTTGCCTGCACTCCCTCAAGAATCTCTACCCCATTTTATGCAGGTGGCGGACGTGCTGCGCGGCAGCCCAGAGGAGGCGGCGCCCCACCTGCTGGCCGTATCCATCTACGTGCGCCAGGTCAGCACCCCCAGCGGCCCGGGGCTGGATCAGAGGCCTTTTCAGTGCTGAGGGCTCGTCGCGTGCTGATTGTGTCACGGTTGCTGGCAGGTTTGCCAAATTGTTTTGCTGATTTTGTCCCTTCGGCTCCCCTTGGACACAACGGGTCCTGGTGCAACGGAAATAGTATTGACCAACATCATGTACCACCCACCCCTACCCGGCCCTCCGCAGGGCCGCGCAGCAGAGGCGATGAGCACGCTCGAGTCGGCTGTGGCGGTCAACTTTGGAATCAGGGAGGCGCCCCTCTACCACATTGTGCACGCGCAGGCGCGTTTCATGCGGTTAGAGGTGTACTATATCATCGTTGATCTTGCTGCGTGTGTCGCAGATGTCACGCAAGCAGGACGCGCTGGCAACCGTGGCAACCATTCCAAGGCAGCATAAGCTTTTCATCCCTTGTATTTGAACGCTGTGAAGTGTCCAGGCCCTCGTGCCTCTCCCTGCCGCGGCGCCCACGTATAAACGCAGGTGCTCATGGCCAATGAGCGACTAGAGGAGGCAAAAAAGGTGCGCGCAGCTGCCGGCGTGCGTCGTGCCTGCAGCCTTGCCTGGAGCGGGTGCGCACGAGAGCCTGGGCTTGCGCTGTTGTTTCAGGGCCCGTGCCCCGGCAAGTCATGAGAGACCACAAAGAAATTGTTTTTTGCATTGAACGCAAAACCCCCTATTTTCCCCCTGGTCAAGCATTCAGACAGCACCTTCTCATGTGGCGTTCTCCAAGAGCCCTAATGCTGGTGACCTACCATCCTTCAGGTTCTGGAGTCAGCCATGGCTGCGCCTGGCATCAGGTCGGCCCTGAGCATGGACCAGCGGGAGCGGCTGTCGAAGCGGGGCCTCCAGCCGAGCAGCCACGAGCGCGCCAGCGTCTTCCTGCTGCTGGCGGAGGTGCACCAGAAATTGTGGGCGCAGCGGCAGCAGCGGGAGCAGCAGCAGCAGCTGCACAAGGAGGCGGAGGCAGTGGCGGCGGGACCCGGCCAGAAACAGGGGGGCGTCGTTGGAAAGAAGCAAGAGGCATCGCCACCGGTGACGTCAGCGGCCATGCAGCAGCCCCGGCTGGAGTTCCAGGCCGGCGGGGCCAAGACGGCAGCAGGAGAGTGCCCAGAAGCCAGAAAGGTGAAATTGACATGTGATGTGTGGGCGGGTCGGCAAAGAACGCTCGCGATCGGCGACCCTGGCGAGGGGCGCTGCCTGTACCCTCATCACGCCTGAAGTGCCATGATACCCGAAAACCACTTCGAATAATCTCTTTGCCCCCCCCCCCTGTTTTGCCCCGCGCCGCAGCTGCTGTCCGAGGCGGTCAAAGTATTCGCAGGGACAAGCGAGGAGGTGGGCGGGGCGCCGCGCCACTGCTTGAGCACCAGCGTGCATGCCGCTGCCTGCTGTGCAGAGCGCTTTTCTGCAGGGAACGGTTGCAAGCAGACCCTCCAGCCCATGCAGTGCTGCGGCAGGGAGGGTGCTGAGCCTGACAGGTGTGTCGCCTGTGTAGCAGCAAAACGGATTCCAGATCAAGTCATAAGATGGGCAGGTGTGGGTGACTTACGTAGAGGGAAGCCCCAAACAACCGACAAATGCAGGTGCGTGTCACCTTGGCAGACTGTGAAATGGCTATTGCCCGCGGCGATGTGAAGGGAGTGCTGCAGCGCCTGCAGGTGAGGCGCACCGCATACGCATGCATGCCAGGCAGCAAGCATAAAAATGCCAACTGCAATGTCACAATGTCTCCTGCGTGCTCTATGCTGCAAAATCATATGCACCTGCTCACCTGTGCTGCAGTTGGCGTCCCAAGCCAATTTCGCAATCCCCCAAACACACACTCTCGTGCGGCATGCCACACCCACGCGCTCCGGCAGTCCATACCTGCGTCTTCGCCGCACTACGCGCGAGCCAGAATGGCGCAGGCGGGCGTGCAGCTGAAGCACAGGCGGGACAGGGCCGCCTACATCGCCTGCTATCTGGACCTCGTGGTGAGAGCGGCGTAGGGTTTGGTTTTGGTTTAGGGGTTAGAGTCAACGGCGGTCGGGGTCTTGAAGAAGGGTCAGCTGCACTTTGGTGCTTCAGGGAGCCCCAGTGTGCAGGCGGTGCACGCATCTGTTTTGTGAGTGACCCTGCCGTCCCAGCTTGTGATGAGGCGTTGTGCCTGCTTGACAAGGATGAGCCTCCTGCAGCAAAGCCGCCCTCCTCAATCCAACCTTGTTTGAAGATTATGCTTACGCACATGCGTGCGCGCATGCACACACACACACACACATATGCACGCACGCACGCACGCACGCACGCGCGCACGCACGCACACACACATGCGTGCCACTCACCACCCCCCCCAGGACAAATCCCCTGACTATGACGGCTACTGCATGCTGGGAGATGCATTCCTGGCCATCCAGGTGACCTTCAGCCTTCCAGATGACTCGTCCCTCCCCACCAGATACCCCAACCCACTGACAGCAAAGCCAGACCAACAAATGTCAGCGTCCTTGGTGTGCGCAGAGGTGGTTGGAACCCCTCCCACAACATCCTCTTGCTTTCCTGCCAGACACATCAGGGGCACCCTTCACCATCGCGAGCTTTGCCAATGGCAAGGTCCGGGGTTACGTCCATCCTCGCAGGAGCCCGGAAAAGCCGTGCGCGCGTTTGAATCTGCCCTGGAGCTGTCGCCCAAGGACGCCCAGCTGGCGCTCAGGATCGGCGCCGCGCTCGTGACGGCGCACGACTACGGCCGGGCGGTCGATTACTACAACCGTGCCGTCAGGAATGACCCCTCAAAGGTAGGGAATTCACGCACAGGTTGAGCCGCTGCCTGTCTTTTGGAAGTGAGGGGTATTGTCTGCCTGTGCACCTGCTTGTGCTGCTTCAGGCAACGCCGGGGAGGACTTCTTCGCTTTTTCCAACAGGTGCGCCCCTGACGTTCCCTCTGGCTCGTGCAGGTGTCCTCCCAGCATGCCCTGGCCGCGCTGCTGATCCGCCTGCGGCAGCTGCCGCAGGCGCGGGCGGTGCTTGACCGCTGCATGGAGCGCCTGCACCCCAGCGACGGCTCGGCCGGGGCCGGGCGGGGCACCACGGAGGCGCTCGCGTTGGAAGCCGAGACGTGAGTGCTCTTCGTTGCCACATCAGTTTCGACATCTGGCAGCCCGTGCCTGCCTGCGCAGTGTTGGCTGTGGGGTTGTGGACGGCTCGCGTGGCTCCCACCCTCCGACGTGCTCCCTGATGGGTGGTCATATGTGTGTGCCCAGGGTGATGATGAACTGCAGCGGCATTCATCTGCCACACAGTCAGTCAATGAGGGGGGAGTATCACGGCCGTTGCACTTGGAGCCCAACAACAACGCCTGGTACCGGAACCACCACCATCATCCCTCCAGGCTGCTCCTCCTCGCGCGGCTGCACGCAGCCGCCCACGAGTCAGCGGAGTATGAGTCATGCCAGCGCCGCGCCATCGACGCGCAGCGCCTGCTGCTGGACCGCCTCAGGGCGGAGTGCGGCGGGGGAGGAGGAGGCGGCGGCGGCGGCGCGGGGGACGCCGCGGTGGCGGCGGCGCGGGGGCGGCTTGTTGAGCTGTGGGCGGCGCTGGCGGAGCACCACGCCAGGGCGCGACACCTCGAGAAGGTGCGGGGGGTTGGGTCAGCTGCTCGCATGGCTGTCGCCGGCGCCCGCGCTGGGTGGCATAGGGATCGACGCTGTTGTAACCCTGTGCAGGGGCCTGCGCTGAAAGTTGCAAGTCACCCCTTGCAACGCCATTTTCTCCATAAGCAAACCTCCCCATCACGAAACATGTGTCATGCTCAGCGGGCGGGTCCACGGACCCTCGCCTCAAGCCCAACCGCTCTCAGCCAAAATAGGGTTTAGGGTTCGACCTCAACCCTAAAGCCTAATCTCCAGCAGCCCGACCATCCCCTCAGGCCCGAGAGGCCCACCAGGAGGTCCTGGCCGTCAGCCCGGCCCACAGCCCCAGCCTGCTGGCGCTCGCCAGGATCGCGCTCGCCCTGGGGGACGTGGACGGCTGCCAGGTGGGGGGGCGCGGGTTGGAGGACGGGCCCTGCGCGTGCATGTCGGGTCTGTGTTTGGGTCGGGTCAACATGGATATACAAAGGTCAACTGTTGGGCACGGAAGAGAGAGGGTGTGTCCTGATGCGCCGTGCGCATGCATTGCAATGCCCAAGCACACACACCGAGTGTGTGTGCATATGTGTCATCGACCAGAGAAAGCAGGCATCAGCGCGAGGTTAAGCGGACGTGCGTCAGAGGCACGAGGGGCTGAATACCAACCCCGCTGACGCCCGGGCCAGCAGGCTGCACCTGCCTCTCTGCGCCACACTCCCTGCGCCACTCGCTCCTCAAGCAACCGGAACTCCCTGTTGATCCGACCAGCGCAAACACGGTCAACCGCACTCACGCCACCCCCAGGCCCAGTGTGTGGCTCTGCTGCGGTCTGACCCCGACAATGAGGACGCGGCCTCCATGCTGGCTGAGATCATGTTCCACCAGGTGGGGCTTAGGTGATGGGGGTGGCTCATGGAGAAGTTTGGGAAGGGGGTGCATGAAGGTG